TTCAAGATGAGTAATTTAGAGGAGTCAAAGATGTTTTTTAAAGATGGGCGGTACATTCTTCAGACAAAACAAGGAAAGAAAGTTGAACAACAAGGGAGAGAAACTGAAATAATTTGGGAAGGAGCATGGGAAGGGGAGAAATCAGTGCATTTCTGTTACAAATATTTCAGGTTATTAAAATTGTTGGGAACAGACAAGAAAACAGGTTGGGGGAAGAAAGTTGGGCACTTAAAATATTCTAGTTAGCATTGTACACTAACAAAAATGCTGTAGTACGTGGGTTGCAAGCACTAAATGATAGATGTGGCTTTCAATTGAGTTTGCATTTTGTATGACCACATAATTTGAATCCAAGTTTGTTTTAAGTAAAGCCTAACTCTTGAACTAGTTTTCTAGTTTCAGTGAAGCAGTTGCTGATAGATAAACAAAAATTTCACCCAAAATCATGTTCGTATTCCATGCTCTAAGTCATAAATAAAATACAGTTGAAAGAGTAGGCACTGTGGGTAAGTTTCAGGAATCCAAGGGAAATTGAATCAAAAAGGCTTTTAAAAAACCCAAAACTAAACTCGACTATTGTCAGAGGTACCTTTAATTTAATAGATTAAATACCATAGGCAGGCAGTGGTTTAGCTTAGAGGTATGGTGAGTTTTCCATGCAGAGAGAAGGTAATTCTTTGCTTATGTACTGCTCAGGTACTGTGATATAAAAGTCTTGTGTATGGATGTGCAGTCATGCTGCATTTAGTGTGAGTGATCTGCTTGCCCTGATGAATGGGGAGGGGGTGCACTGGGCAGCACTGTGAGCCATTTCTGAGATACCTGCTGGTAGGGCACACTGTTCATGTTTTCCACATGTACACATTGTTCTAATTTGGAGCTTATGTTAGGGTGGGGTTGTCCTGCTGCCTGAGGTGTCATGAAGGTCTCGTGTTGCAGCTCAGTGGAACATGGCAGGTGCTGTTGTTTCCAGCCCTGCCCTTTACAGTACTGTAGTTTCTTACCAACATCCAGGAGATATTTTCCCTTGTGTCTCCCCTGTGTTGGGTGCCTGCCCATCAAAGAGCTGTGGAGGGAAGAAGGGGAGGCAGCAGGGAATCAAACAAGTGAACAGAATTAGGCAAAGGCTGACAGCAGTAATAGGCAGAACCTTTTTCAACTTTGGTGTAGCCTTGTCCTCAGGCTGCCCTTCCATATTCTCTTGAAGGGATTTGAGAGTCTTAATGTTCCTATGTTGAGATCAGCTATATAGAATTTTGTGCCACTGAAATGTACAGAATTTGGACTTCAGCCTTCCAGTATTTTAAACGTACAAACACTGCCTGAGAGGTTAAACATGTCAACTATTTATAGTTACCTAGAGAATAATTAAGCTTATTTTAAAAGAAACAAATAAATAATCGACTCTTTATGGTTGTTCTTTTTGAGACTTTTTATTATGGGTACATGTATTTTGTAAGCATCTTTGTTCTCTAACAAGAATTGCAGTAGAAGATGCAACATATTATATGATAGAAGATCTAACATATTATATAATAGAAGATCAAAAATATTGTACTAGGGTTATTACTATTTTAATTGAAAATAGTGAGACAGGTATTTGAATTTGAAATTGGTCTGATAATGCTCAGCTCTTGTATTTCAGCAATGAATCATGATCATAGGTCACAAACTATTTTAGCCATTAGGGCATGGAGAAAAGGTACCATTCAAAGCTAAACACCACAATTAGGGATGCATGACTAAAGTTTCCAAGTAATGTATTAGTAGTATTGTATGAGACAGTCACATGAAAAAGATCATGAGGTTGTGAAAAGGATTACGATCATGCTTTAGTCATGAATTTCCTGATAGAGATATTTTAGTCTGGATCGTGCTTGTTTAAATGAGAGTAATTTGACTTTGCTTGTTCTGGTTATATTACCAGTATATAGCAAAGAGGGAGAAAAGCTGTCTTGCTTACAAAAAAAAGTATCCTCTGAGTAACTGAATTCTACCTGACCTTGAAATGCTGTTTTCAGTACTGAGAAACTGAAGTAAAAAAGCTTCTTGAACAGTTTGTTTGAGCATTACAGTGAACAGCATGTACTTACCTGTTGCTGCCATCTCCTGTGCAAGCACATGGAAGTTCGCCTTTCTCCCAGGGCATTCATTGGTCTGGCTTGTGCCTTAACTGCTTATTCCAGATCCTGAACCTGCTCTTCACATTAAGTAACGTTCAACATTGTAAATCCTCAGTTGATGAAAATCAGCATATTCCTAAAGAAATGTGGAGCTGTCTTGATCTGTCAACAGTCATATTCCTGATTACTGCCAGAATGTTTCTGCTTCCTGGCATGCTGTAAGTCAGGGTCCAGATTCTCAGCCTGCATAAGAAAAAGCATATGTCCTTTATTTAAAGGTATTTCCAGGTGATCATACAGTCTGAGGGCTGACCCAGTCCAGTGACTCTTGGATAAAGATTTGCAACCTGTTTCATTCTACTCCACTAGTATCAGCATTTACCTGTTTCCTCAGAGGAAAATGGAAAAAGCTTCTGGAAGATGTTTGAGGGACTTCTGATGGTTTTTTTACTAATCCCAGTGATGTATTTATAACATTAGGGATGCCTTCAACAGACCCTGTGAGTGAAAAAGACTTTATGAAAATAATATCCCAGTAAATTTTGGGGGTTGAACTCATCACGATAAACTACTTGAGAAAGTTTGTCACAGCCCTTAAATCAGTAACTGGAATGTAGGTAATTGAGCTGGAGACAAACTACAGTTATTCCAGACTGATGATTGAACAGTCGTTTATAAAAATAAAACAGTAATGTACAATGATTAGCCATTGACCTATCTGAGGTCCCTAGAACCAGTTTTGATGCAGATGCCTCCATTTGACAGATATTCTTCTGGTCTTACATTTTTAAGTGGGACGGTATTGCAAAAGACAGTTCTGCCTTTTCTTAATTTCGTAAGCATTTGAAACTCCAGTGAAAATTGAATTTTCATATTTTGTATTTGTAGAAGTTTACGGGAGAAAGATTTTTTTTTCCCCCAGTCTTCTGTGTTGATTCATTTATTTGCTATATAAAGTCATTAGAACATATCCCTTTCCTGTTTTTCTTGAGTGCTTTTCTCTTCCTACCTGTTGCAAGTATAGGAGCTTCCAACAGGTTTTCTGTGTCTGTGTGTGTAATAATGTGGTTACCAGTCCTTATGCACAAAACAATAAGCTGGTATTTTAGGAAATTAAGATGGACTTTAAATATTTGTGGTTTGGTGCAAATCACTTTCCTGAACAATTTCATGAAGCACATTTTAGTTAAGGGGGGGCTTGGGAAGGACAGCTGATTTTACTGTATTTTGTCTGAAAGTCAGTGTCATTTTAGGGTGTGTTCACCAGGTCACTTTTGTCTTTATGAATGGAGGGTCAGTGACAGCTCTGGTCAAGATGCACAAAAGAAACTAAAACTGCTGTCAGTGTTAAAAAACTAAAGCATACTTGCCTTGTTTGCTGTTTTCTTACATCCTTGCATTTGCTGCAGTGTCTTGGTAGCATCATAGTGTACAGAAAACAGGGTGGATGGACCTTCTGTCCATGTCCTTTCTCTCAGCTCTGATTTCCTTATCAGCCATATTTTAATTTAAAAGCCCTACTTCTGTATTTGTTTCCTTTGTCTATTTTAGTCAATCCCATTAAACTGTTCTTAATCATCCTGTGGCTGTTCGATTGGTTTGGAAGCTCTGTGCTACTTTCTTTTTGTTGTCTACTCCTTTGCTGATAGAAGGGCTGGATTGTCTACTATAGTTATCTAGCAGAACTGTTGTGAATGTTACACATTTTATTTGGCTTGGTACCAAGCAGAACAAATTAAATGTTTCTAAAAAACCCTGGCGATGTTTATATGATTATGTATTTAAAAAGAAAACATGCATTTTAAAAGTTGTTCTCTACCCAAAATAAGTCTCTAGAAAATAGAAGTTATAAAGTACAGTTCTTGGCTTATATTTAGTTTTCTAGTTTGATAACATTTTTACATACACTTGGATTTTTTTCTTAAGTTTCATTTATAATACTTATTCCCATGTTATATATATATATTTGCTAGCAGATGTAAACAAGACAGCTGTTGTATTTTGTAAAATAATGAATTGTTTTCAACTCTAAACACAAGATACACTATTGCAGTGTCTTCTTCATAATCTGATGTTGAATCTTAAGTTTCTTATATGTACTACTAAATTGAAAACTACATTTTCTAGGTGATATAGTTTCTAAAAATCAGTATTAATTCCTTTAAGCTAGATAGTGTCAGCATTAACAGTATTTTTTGAGTTGCATAAGGAGGTGTTTTCCATATAACCTTACTTTTAAATGAATGTCCACGTAGATCTTTCAAGTCAGTGAACCTATGTAAGTAAAAGTGCTAAAATATGAACATTTAAGCAATACACTGAAGTTGGTTAATGACATCTTATTTTTGAATTGGTAATGGCTGATTTCAAAGTAGGGAATTGTGCAGTGTGTGTGTTTAGTGGAGGTACTTCAGCAGCACAAAAGAGAACAAATGATGCATGGGATTTCAACTGTCTTGTCTACCTCTCACCCCTATGAACAAGAAAATACAGTATTGTTATTCTAAAACAATTTTTATTCTTTTATAACTTGGGTTTTAAGAAGATTTTCTATATTATAGGTTATCATAAGCATAGATGCCTCTGAATATATACACAAAAGTGTTATGACTGACTGTAAATGCTGTAAATCTTGTAATCATCTCCTGCAAGTATTGTATGTTAAACAGCATCTCTAAAATACACAGAGTCTATCTGACTGTTAGATAAGAAAAGTACACTGATAAAAGTACTGCAATTGTTATTCATTTAATGCCAATATATAAAAGGTTTTGTAAGCCATTCAATTGGCATAAATAAGTACCAGACTGATATGTAGTACAAGTGTTGAGATTGCTTTTACACCTAAGTGCTTCCCCTTGTGTTTCTTGTAGGAAACAGAGATGAAGGTACACATGCACACAAAATTTTGCATCATTTGTTTGCTGACATTTATCTTTCATCAGTGCAATCATTGCCATGGAGATGGACATAACAATGGTCCTAAAAAGGATCGTGGACACTACCATAATGACTATCAGATCTCAAATGAATCGTACTTCCAGAGTGGAGGAACAGAATCTATGCCGAGTAAATTTTCAACGTTGGAAGCTGAAAATGAACAAAAATACTACATTGAAAAGATTTTTGATCGTTACGGTGAAAATGGAAGATTATCTTTTTTTGGCCTGGAAAAACTGTTAATAAGCCTTGGGTTAGGAGAGGTAAAAGTAGTGATGATAAATCATGATGATATTGGCCATGATCATGTTTCTCACTTATATGCTTTAGAAGTACAGGAAGGAAAGCATTTTCACTCTCATAACCATCCTCACAGCCACTCAGATTCAGAAAACCAAACTGTGATTGGTATGTCTGCAAAGAGAAATCATAAATGTGACCCAGAGAGAGACACAGTAGTGCCATCAGTAAAAGATGATGGCAAACACATTCATGACCAAAGTCACCGTCACCACCACCACCACTCTCGGCCACATCGCCATGACCATAATGGCACCCATCACTCTCGTAATGATTCAGTCAGTCATCGTGAGCACGGGGAACAGAACCATGAACCTTCAACAGAGACAAACACAACTCAGGATCAACCAGAAAGAAAACAACGGAAACAGAAGAAGAAGCAAAAGAAGATCAGCGAGACTTCAGGAGATGCTACCTGGGATTATGCCCCAGATCATGATCCCGGTGATCAGTATGAGCACAATCGTGTTCATAAACATGATCATGTACATGATGCATCTCACTTGCATGTGCACCATCATGACCACAGCAGTGATCGTTCTAGTAGTCATGGACATCAAGATGCCAGTTTAGGTAATGACGATGGACACCGAAACACCAGCAAGCGAGAGGCACCTCGCAAGCAGATCAGTGTGAGGAAACGCGCCCTTGTTTCAGTGCGTAGTCACAAGGATCGTGAAGAGGTGAGTATGAAATGGGGAGCTGGGAAGTTGAGTTCCGCTGTTGTTACATTTTGCTGTGTGGAACGTAATATGTTAGGAAATAATTGAAGGTGCATACCCACAAATAACAGAGAAGCACGTTTGTGACCGTTGCAGAATGAAAATCCTAGAGGTTACTGCCATAATTTTGAGTTAACTTTATGAGTTTTCATTTCTGTCTGCCCATCACCCATCTTTTCTCAGAGATCTATCTTCTTGCCTATTTTTCTGTATGAAGTTGATCCTTAAAGGCTTTCTGAGATATGCTGCTTACAGGTGTGGGGTTTTTTCCCTTCCCAGTGTTGATGAATACTGCAATGACACACAGAAGGAAGTTTTGGACTTCTTTCTGAATCTGAGATCATTAACATTTTTGGAAGCTGCACGGACACTCTTTCCTAAAATAAATATCTGCATCTTTTCATAATGCTTCTAATGTGTTTGTTCTAAGAGATTATGAAGCAATTGTACATATAGCTTCTGTAGGACTGTGCTCAGTGTAAGATCATCTGTTTCTTCCTTCAGCATCCATTATATCTACTAGCACCATAAATAGCCCCTTACTACAGAGGCAGGACATTCTGATACCATAGTTTTAAACTAGAAGTCAGGATAGGAAAGAATGGAGTGGGTGCTAAGTTTGAGGTTTTAAACTTAATTAAAAAGTGCAGCTCTAAACACAAAAGGTTGGTAGATAAACAGAAGTATTAGTAAACCTATTTTGGATTTACATTCTTCCACTCCTTACCTGTTGCTCTTTCTTCATTGCCTTAACTGTGTAATGGTAAAGAATACGGAAACTCATTTTCATTAATATTTATCAAGTATTATATAGGTGTTGGGAGACTTGAATTTGTATTCCAGATATTTTTACTGTTTCTTTCCCCTCAAAAACCACTTAGGTCAGCTTAAAACATGTTTTAGCACTGGTGGAATGTTTTGGCCAAAGGTTCTGCTGTCTGTTTTGTGTTCTCAAATAATACGCTAAATTTTCCATAACTGTAGCTTTTAGTAAAACAGTTGCTTTTATATTTAATTTGTTTGTACAATTTGCTTGCAGTGCTTAAATGCTACCCAGCTGCTACGGTACTATGGTCTGGAAACCAGCTCTCTAATATCTCCTGAATTGTTCGTGTACATATGCCCTGCTTTGCTATACCAGATTGAGAGAAGGCTTTGTATTGTACATTATGATGAGTTTGAAGATATTATGAAAAGTAAAAATGCGTCAATTGACAATAAAGATAAAACAGGTGCATCAGGTAGGTGTGTAACATCTAAAGCTTTCTAAATCATTTTGCAATTTAAATATAAAACTTCAAAGTTTGACATGTCATACAGTTTATCGTTGCTTGTAAAGGAATGGTTGAAATTTAACATGCTAGAAGAACTTTAAGATAACATCATCCTTTAAGTCAGGAGACATAGCATTCTGTTAGGTGGTATAACAGGTTCTCCAAGGTAACCATGGATCAAGGAGGTATGTTTTTTTCACTATCATTTTCACTATTTTATGTTTGCTTATTTTTATTTCTTTTTTTTTTTTGGTTTTCTGTCATTGAGGCCTAATGTCTTACCATTGGGCCTAGGCATTTTGCCATAGTTCTAAGCTAAAAATATCTTTACTGCTGTTAAAGCAATTACTTTAGGGGCAGAGTCATTGTTGTGATTTCATAACTGAAAGTACTTTTAAAATACATATTCAGTACTGCTATCTTTTATAAATGATAATGGAATTATGGTGTTTAGTTGCAGTGAAACATTAAAAATCTAAAAAATTTGCGTATAGTGTCTGTATTTTGAGAATAAAAGTATTGTAGTGGTGAATATTGATTAGTACATTGGTGCTTATTAGCATCACTAGAAATAAAGCTTGAACTAACTACATTCTCATAGATGTTGGCAACTGTTGGAAAGTATGCATTGTTCTTTCTTAACAATTCTGGAGTCGTTAAAATGGTTAACTTCTTATGCATAGATCTCCTACAGGGACACGTCTGCTATCTTGCTAACTGTTCCAAGATTGCTGTAAACCAAGTATACTGTGTGTTTCATATGGCAGCACATTGTTTTGTGGGGCAGCCTCGTTGTAGTAAGAGTTGAACCCTGCCTTATCACCAAGAGCATTTCTAGAGCTGCCCTAAGCATTTTCTGCCAATTAAAATGTTGAAACCCTTTACAAAACTGTCATGTTGTTCATGCTTTGGACCGGTTTAATTAGAAAGTTTCTACAGTTGAGTGCTTCTTTTTAAAAGAACGCATTTTATTTCTCTGGAATGAGAAAGGGAGTTGATGAATAACTCAGCTTGAAGACCTTTAACGTTTTAAGAGACTTAATTTGCAAAATTAATGAAGCTTATCGTGAATATTTAACATTTTATGTCATCTGATACTTTGAATATAAATAACATCTTTGCCAGTTAGTTGTTAAAATTTGGGTTTTAACATTGATTTAGCTGTGAACATAAACAGTAACCCCTAAAACAGGTCAGCTTGATTAGATAATGATAAATCATTCTTCATAACAATTTCCTGTATACTCTTGTATTAACCACAGCAAAATTTCAGTGATGTAATAATAATTTTTCCTTTTTAAGTAAGGAAGTGTATCACAAAATAACAAATTCTAACTGGAATGTGGGGACTGTGGGATGTGTAGGACTACTTTCAGTCATAGGGTAACTGAACCTGCAGGTTATAGGATTTTACTAAAATGAGAATGTGTGCTCACACGAACTAATATAAACATTTTAGATAGAAGTATGAGGATGCAGTCACTTTTAAACATAAGCTTTTGGTGATTTTCTTTAGTTTTAATTAGAGCTTTCAAAAAAACTTAACAGACCAGTGGTGCTTCTTCTCACTGGTGAGGTTTCCCTTACCTCTGATAGTGCATTTTCTAAAGCAAAGTAATTTAATTAACTGATGACCAAAAACTTATGAAGCTATGTTGGGGTTTCTTCCTGTAATTTACAGATAGTTTCTGTAACATCTTCTAAGAGAGGAATTTCAAGGGCTTATACATACAACTGAGCTTTCACAGTGTACCTGCTGGAAAAGGTGACATTGTCATCACTGAGGGCTCATAAGCAACTTAACCTAAAAGCAAAGACACATCTTACTATGAATCAAATTAATAGAATTGATACAAGTAAACAGTGAGCAGTTTTTTAAAAGGTGGAGATCACTTAGAGCTGATGAGTCGAAGTGTTTCAGATCAGATACAGCTTGTAATTCTGCCTGTGCAGATCCCAGTGTTCCCTGGAGGGGATCCGAGAGGTGCACAGATTCCGTATTCTAAATCTCATGTGCCTCATCTTAATCATGATGCCATGTTTAGGTACTGTATCATTCATAAGAGTATGTAAGCCCTTCAGAGGTGGGTTTGCCAAAATTATGCTGTGATATGTGAAACTTAAGCCAGTTTGCATAATCTCCTTTCCATTTTTCTCCATGTAAGGCTGTTGATCATCTAACCTGGCACTTAACATCATAATGTGTCCAGATGGAGTTCCAGTGTCCTGCCAAATGGCTGTGTGACTTTTTTTTGGGCTGCTTGTGCATGCATGCATGATTCAGCATTGAATGACAAGTCCATGTATCCTGTTTTTTTCAGCAGAGCCTATTAATCCAGAGTAGGTGGCTGAAGTGCTCTGGGTATGAATCAAGGCTGCGTAGTGGCAGTATTTTGGTCCTCAAGGTCCACCTTAGACCTGCTTTCGTATTCCCATTTTCCAGCCTCTGTTTTTGAGTTCCTCATCTGATGGCAGACTTTGCCTTTTCACCAACATTCTTTTTCCCTCTGTCTCAATGTGCATATATGTCAGTGCACACTGCACGCTGTCTAAAGCTTTTTCCAATCAGTTTCTCCTCATGGATGTGGTCTTGTACCCTTTCATTTGAACTGAATTGTTTCCTTTTGTGCAGCGTTGTGGAATGACAACTGCAGACTTTGTAAGAATGAATATCCCCAAATAAATTTTAAAACAGCGGATGTTGTTAGCTTTGGTGTTGAACTAGACCAAGCCTGCAAAGTCTTCGCAAATCAGTTCTGTAGTGAGTTTAGTACAGATAGATTTCTTGAGATGCTTGACATTTTAATATTAGCAGCTACAACATATTCATTTCTCCTCTCATCCATACTCAACCCTTGCTCCCCCATTTTCCAGGATGTTTTCCTTAAATGAGTGGACCTTGAGAGATGCAAGGGAAGTCAAGTCGTGCTCTGAAATGTGGAAACACTAGTGATTTTGAATTAGGAGTTGTTGACTTAGATTAAAGTTGGCAAACTGTGTAGACATTTTTGATTAAAAACGAAGCTAGGAAAACCCTAGAAAAACCTGAGGCCTTCAGGCTAAAACTTAAAATAAAGAAAATATTTTATTAGGGTGAGATGCTGAGTGCAAGAGCCATGTCTCTTTGATTATAGAATCTGTTTCTTGAGTAATTCCTTCTTTTACATGTCATCTAGAAATTTGCACACCTTCCCTAATTAAGAGGATTATGTTGGGTGTACCACATCACATTATGACTTTTTTTTCTAATGACAACGGTAGAGGTTCTCAGATAAAATAAATGCTGCTTTTCATTGGTAGCGAGTTGCTTTCAGCTCTTCAAGCTCTTATTGTAGAATTAGATTTTAGAGTCAAAAGTTGAGTCTTACTTCTTATTAATAAAAATGTATGTTTCAAAGCACCAGGTAAAATAAATAGTGCCAAACTAAACATGTGACTCCAAACAGAAGAGGAGATATATTGATTTCAGATAAATTTTGCATCAGAACCATGGTAAAAACAAATGTTAAATACATGTTAGTGTTTGTTAAGTTAACTTGACAAACTGAGCTTGATCTGAGCTTAAGTAGTGGAGGTGGCTCTGTTCCAATATGAAATCTTTTGCTTTTTGTGTTTCATTAAGGGCTACAAAACTAAGCCTGGAACTAACAGTCAGGAAGAATTGCTGGGCTCTTTTTAACTAACTGTCTTCTGATGTCTTTCAGTATATCATACTGTACTATGAATAAGTCTGTGTATTTTTTTTGCTGTGGACTTCAGTACTGCTTTCATATTTTTCAGCACCTTTTGAATGAACAATCACACAGCTTAGGTTAAAGGAAAGTCACCTCTTTAAGAGATACTTGAAAGTCATTAATGAGTCTTGAAAGTTTTACAGGTGTTATGATAACCTTTCTGTATTCATTTCTTCCCACAGCCTGGTTTTGTGGTATCATCTCTATCACCGTCATTAGCCTGCTTTCCTTGCTAGGGGTGATCCTGGTTCCCATCATTAACCAATGGTGCTTCAAATTTCTTCTAACTTTCTTGGTAGCTCTGGCAGTAGGAACAATGAGTGGAGATGCACTGCTCCATCTATTACCACATGTAAGTGTTGTTTCCTTACCTTTTATTCTTAATTGTAAATGAGTCTAGAATTTTCAAGGAATTGTTTGATAGCGTCAATACATAAATGTTCACTGATACAGATGTAAAATGACTTGGCTATGAGGGGCATCCTGAAACACTGTTAGAGACTTTCTGTTAACAAAAAGAAAGAAAATGTGTTTTTCCTTAAAAAAAAAAAAAAGAAAAAGAAAAAAGTAGTTGTGTATTCCTGGTTGAAATGCTGTCACTATTTTAAACTGCTGTTACTACTTTAAAACACCTCATGAGCCCAACGAGATTTTTTTAAAGTTAGCAGTATTGCTGTCTCGTGTCTACTGACAGTTGATTGTGTGTCAGTACCACCTAAAAGTATTTCCTGGGGATTCACCTTCATGGTTACTAGCTTTTGGGGAGAAAGTAACCTCTAACTTACTGAATCAAGAAATTGCCCAGGTTCTGGGGAAAGTAAGCACTTTTTAATTCATGATCATATACTGTAGTTCTTAAATGAGGAAGTGTTTTTTAAACTTTTGTTACCTTAATTCTTTTAACAGAAAGATTAGTGTTTACATGTTTTCTCTGTATAAATTCTAATACACATTTTTGGTCTTTTTTTTTTTTTAAGTTTGTATTTCAGAATTAAGTCTCTAATGGCCTATAATGGTTAAAAAAAATTCATAAGGTTTGGTTACTATTGGAAGTATAGGAATGGTAATTCTGTGTGATATTTCTGAGAGTTAGTCTCATTTATCATCAGCATTGTGAGAAAACATGAAGCTAGATTATCTCCCACTGTCCCAAAAAATTTCCCAGGTGGATTTTTTTTTTTTTTTAATGATTAGGGTAATGAATAGTCCGATGAAAAATTTATATGGCAAAGTGTGTTAGTGTGGGGGAAAAAAAAAGGGGGGGGGGATTTTATGCTACTTTTCTGAAAGGTGACATATTTTTTTAGTCTGAACTCAGAGCCATTTCAGTCTCCTGATTGCACCAGGTCGTGCTGTGTTATTATTTTCTCTCCTAATAGTCACATGGAGGCCACAACCACAGTCACCACCATGGCCAAGGTCATGTTCATGAACACAAGCGTTCCCATCGACATGCCCACGGACATGCAGTGCGGACTGAAGGCTTCCTAGAAGAAAATGATCCAGTGCTGAAAGGTCTTGTGGCACTTGGAGGCATTTATGTTTTGTTCATCATTGAACATTGTATAAGAATGTACAAACATTACAATAAACAAAAGGTACGTACTGAAATTGCATGCTGTTTAAAAACGTAGTACCTGAGGTTATCTTCTGAGAATTGAGTTGTTATCTGTGTGATGAATTGTTATTCTGTGAACAAGTGCTGCTAATCTTTATTCTGTCCCATGTTATGTGAGAAAACTCTACTCTGTAGAGTGTAGAGATCTGGTGAGCGAAGTTGCAGCTTTCTGACCAGATACATTTGGAGGTAGATCTAAGTAAAAGAGATTACAGCTCTCCCTCAAAAATGCTGTGATTTTATATTTGTTTCCCTCAAAATATGAAAAGCAGTGTGTAAGAAAGAACATAGCAATTGTCAGACAATTTACAAGAAATTTAGCAGTATATTGTTAGCTAACAATGCTGGTGTAACAGAAGTATTCAATTTTTCTACATCAGAAAATGCTACACTTTTCAGACCTCCTGCTTTCTATAAATTGCCAGTCAAATTTTAACTTGTTTTTCTAAAAATTGTTGGACTATTAGTACTGTATTCATGATGGTGGTACAAAAGGAGAGCAGGTACCTTGAGGAGTGTGAGTGTGCATGGAAATTCAGTTTCAACTTTTGCCTTCATCAGTTGACTTCGAGGAGAAAATTATTTTGGTGAAACTGAAACTATAACTGCTTCTCCCAAAAGGACTGTGAAAAATTTTCAAGTTCTCTGTTTTCACATCAGACTTGCTGTCTTAGCTAGACAGGCAGCAAGAGATTTTCTGTGTTGGAGGAGGCATTTCTTACATCTGATAAAGGGATAAAAAGTGTCTCATTGGACACTTTTTTGAGATTAATTAAATAATTAAATCCCCTAGGCTGCCTTGGCAAATCCATAAGCTTTGTTGTATGGCTTGCAGATAGAGAAAACCTTGCTATTTTCTTAAAGGAAAATACAAGCAAGTTCCAGAAGTATAAAAAAATTTAAGTTGAACAAAGAGGAGCTGTTCTTGCTGCATGCTTGCTTTCTTGAACAAAGTCAGCAAATATAATAGCTGCACACATGTGTTTCTGGGCTGTGAGAGCAATCCTTGTCAGAGTATACTCTCTTACTAAAGTCAAATATCATCTGTGTGTGTTTGTGAGATTCTGTCATAGGTAGCTAATAATTTCCACTGGGATAGCTACTGTTGCTGAGCCTTACTTATTAAGCCTATGCTTAATTCAATATTCTGAAGTAACATACTTCTGTTAAACATGTTAAGAGAGAGTACACTTGGTCTCTTTAGAGGAGATTTTTTGACAACATTTCACTTCTGCTTATCTCCATCAGTGTCATTTTACAAACCAGATGTTACCTGTTTTCTGTTGCAGAGTAAGCAGAAATGGTGCAAAAAAAACCAGGCTGAAGAATCACCAATTGGAAGGAAACTTTCTGATCACAAATTAAATAATAGACCAGATGCTGACTGGCTTCAGCTGAAACCCCTTGCAGGTTGGCATTTATTTTCAGAATTTTCTCTGATTATGAGATTCAAAGTAGCAACATGTTACTTTGGTATGGTATTTAGCATGTAACATCTTGTACAGTTTGGCTGCTATTATGCAAATCATTGTTAATAAGACTTAATAGGCTTTCCCTATTAAATCTTTTTTTATTTTGTTGTCGTTAGATCTGAGAGCACTCTGAACGCTTCCTAATGTACCATAAAGATGGTTCTCAAACTTCTGAAGCAGTCAGGTTTTGGGTGGCTGTGGTTCTTCGGGAGTTTTTTTATTTATTTGTTTTCAGGGTGTTTTTTTGGTTCAGCTGTGCCTGAATAGCTCAACCCAGGCAAAAATTAGATCAAAAATGAACACCCACACAACCTGAATGCAGATATCTGTTTCACTTTGAAGATTCCAGCAGCTGAACCAATTATCATTTGGCTGAGGAAGCTAAACAAAATCTGTTTCTTTTCATAAATACAACTGAGTATCCTGAATATTCCTCAAGTATCCAAAACAACTTTCACATACTGTTCCTTTGTGACAGTCTGTGAATGGTCAGGCAGTGTGCACCCAGAAGGAATTGTGTATCCCCATAGGGGTGAGGGAAGGGCATTGCTACATAACCTTCCCGTTCTGTTGCCTGCATGGCTTCTGCATTAATTTGTTGATGAAGAGTCCATAGGCTGTATTTATACAAATTCAGTTTTGTTAATTTGATTGGTTTGTAGAAGGGAGAATTAGGACTGCAGCCTTCTCCGGTCAGTGGGATATGGGACATTGATATAGAACATAGAAAGACTTTAAACTGTATGGATAGTGGTAAATATATTTGAAATGTCCTCATTTCCTTTTAATGGGCAATCAGAGGAATTTTGCTTCTGAAAACATGGAGCATGTTCTGGTTTTGTAACACACTTATTCTGAAAGTGTGCTCTGCTGGTCAGTATATCATTCGTACTGCAGGCACTGGAAGCCCATGCTGAATTTGAATTTTGAGCTGCAGTGCCACTACCACTGACCTGAATGGCCATTCCATTTCTTTTTAAACCACCTCCGCATGATGATTAAGACACTGTTTATCTAGAACTCTCTGCTGCTTAGGTACTCCGTGCCAGTTTTTTCAATTCCACTTATGATTTGCTTATTTTTGACTCTGAAATATTTTTTTAAATTATTGTGAGCTAATTGTCCAGAACTGCTTTTTTTTTTTTCCCCTCCTCACAACTGCCTTTCTTTCCTGGAGCATAGATTGCCCTCTTTGTTTATTTATTAATATTTTGGAAATATTAGTAAGCTTAAAATTCATTGTATAAGCCTTCTGCATTGTTTTCACTTTGTATTACTTTGTAAAAATGGCTTTGATTGCTAGCAGGGTAATGAGCTACTCTGAAGAAGCTCACTGTGTGAGCACACAAGTGTGACACGAGGATTCATGCAATACAGCAGATCTGTAACTAGTGTCTGTGTCGGTGGCAGGTCATGGTATACTGCAGTGAAGGCTGAGCTGTGACCTGTAGGGGCATGTGTAGGCAGTAGCCAGTTAAGGTTTCCTGAGCCATTCAGATTCCATCTGCAGCAGATAAGACATTATTATCATCCTGGCAACTCTCCTTTGCCAATGTTGAACCATAAACTTTGTCAGTAGCAAAATTGCAGATACAAGCCTAGGCTGGGTTAAAACTGGCTTTGAGTGCTATGGATACAGTGATGTTGCCTTGTAGTGGAGACTTTCATATGCTGTACATGCAAATTAGTGAAAAAAAGTATCAACGAGAGATTTATTTTTTTGGCTGAATATTGACAATGAAGTTACTAGACTGGGATGTGTTAAAATACTTTTTTTGCTTTCACAGAGCAGTTAATTCTTAGTTCGGTGATGCAGCAGTTGCTGGTGACGTGTTAAATACAAATTAACACAGTGTCTCTCTCCCAACTGGCTTCAATGCAGGAGCAGATGACTCGGTTTTGTCTGAAGATCGACTGAATGAAACTGAACTAACTGATCTGGATGGCCAGTTGGAATCCCCTCCCAAAAACTTCTTGTCTGTGGAAGAGGACAACAACATGCGCCACTCTCACAACGACGTCTCACATGCTGCTCAAGAGCATGATCTTCATGACTCAGAGTATGACAGCCATGGAGAAGATAAAATGATAGCTAGAAAACACAGTCACCACTGGCATCACAAACATTCCCATCATTCCCATGGCCACTGTCATTCTGGAAAAGACCTGAAAGATACTGGGATAGCTAATATTGCTTGGATGGTAATTATGGGAGATGGCATTCACAACTTTAGTGATGGCTTAGCAATCGGTAAGCAAAAGCACTGAGTATTTCTCAACAGTTTCTCCTTACCTTTAGTAACTCTGGTAATATTTTACTTATCAGTGATCATAGGTAAGGCTTCCAGTTAGCAGCCATGGTTACTGGCATTGCTTAATCTCCTTCAGGGCAGAAAGTAAAAGGCTGTCAATTGTAATAGTTACTACTTTGTTAATATTTTGTTCTATTTCCGCCGAAATTACTGTATTGGCATAGTGACAATCTCTGCCAAGTAAAGATAGGTGCAGGCAAACCTCTTTGTGATTTAGGGAGCACAGTAATGCACATTTGTTGTTTGGATCTTAGTATTTGCCTTTGAATTATAAGTAAATTCAGTCTTATTTACAATTATATTTATTTATAATAATAATACTGCTATTTCTATTATTGTTAATACATAGAATTATACAGTACTTGTAAGTAAAAATACAATATGAGACAGGTTACAGAAATAATTTTTTAAAAATAATTTAATTTTTATTTAAGCAAAGTTTGGGTTTGGCTTATGGTCAGTATAGATTTATTTCTAGCCAAGTGCAGAACACATTGAATTACCAAACAGATTTTATTAGATTTATGAAATCAACTTTGATTCACATAATGCTCTAAATGTGATTTGAACCGTAAAATGCATTTAATTTCAGTATATGTCATACAAGTCAAAATGACAGTGAGAGTACTGAAGTGCATACTTTCAATTTTTTACTTAAGTAGCTGCTAAGAATACACAGGGTTCTGAACTACTAGTAGGAGGAACACACACATTTTGAAGGATGGGGGATAAGCTACTTACTAGGGTCTGTAGTTAACAGTGGAATCTACTACTATTTCTCCACTTTCTCAAAACAATTTCTAAAGAAACTAAATTCTTTAAAAAATAACTTTTTGCTTCATTTTCATATTAAACAGGTAAGACATTTAGACAATGGTTTCTAAGGCCAAAAGGATTACTATGACTACTGTTGAGAACTTCACTGTGTTGAAACTCCATTTCTAAATATTCCTGTGTCAAGTCCAAACAGCTGATTCTTTGGTAAAATGTAGATTTTAGAAAAGCATGTTCATATTTTTAGTGTATCAAGTTATGACTAATCCAGAGGAAAGTTAAATTTCCCCTCTGTCTTCAGATTGTGTCTTCTCTTTCTACTTTATGTTGCCTGTTTTGACTGCTCACTGCAGGCTCTTTTTGTGCTTTTCTCTGCTACAGTACAGAAATTTAGTACCAGTTTTCTCATCTCAGAATTATTTAAGGTATGAACTTAAAGTTAATTGAATTAAATTAGCTTATGCAAAAGTTACTGAAAGACATTTATGGCAATGTTTTTGTCTTTATTATTTTCCAGGTCTGGCTTATTAATATTGCTGATATGTGCTCTACATATAAGCAGAAAGGAACTAGAGAGGTTATGGGTTAAATATTAGTTTGGATTTCCAAGCTGGAAAGGAGAGGTTTAGACTCTTGCTCATGTGCATTCCTAACTGTCCTCATGTACTTGAGAGTTCCTAAAAATGTAAAAGTGGTGCTATTTATTAGCTTGTTGCCTTAATGTGTCCGTTTTGGTCAGTTGTGATCTCCTCTCCCAGGATTTGTCTTTCAGATACACTGAATAATAAAGCATGCAGTGGTAATGCACATCCAAGATACTTCCAGTACTTCCCATTTATATATGGACAGGGCCTAGACATACTGAAAAATATAAGAGTATGCCTCCTAACAGAAGGTTGTCATCCCTGGAAAGTCTGTTGATTTTCTGACTTGAAAATAGTGAAATATAATTTTAATTTTTTTTTCTTTTTTTTTCTAGGAGCAGCTTTTAGTGCTGGACTGACAGGAGGAATTAGTACATCTATAGCAGTATTTTGTCATGAGCTTCCCCATGAATTAGGTAACTAAGTCTAGAAACTCTGTGTTCAGTCTCTTCATATGTACAAAATATTTGTCTAAAAGCTGTTGTGATACGGTGATAAGCATAATGCAATGCAGACACTGAAGGGGTGACCAGAACTTCAGAGTGGAAGGGAGCAATGTTGCTTCACAGTACATAATGATGCAGGATTATATTGGCAGGTGTCTACTTACAGCAGCTCTGTGAAGCTATTTGAACACATTTTAAAAAATGTTCTTAGGAGCACACATTTGACATTTTGGTGTTACACCTCTGCATTTTATAGAGAATTTCACACTACTCTGTGTGGCCTTGTCTTACACAAAGTTAAGTTATATAAGTAAACACAAGCTTACCTATTACGAAATTGTGCTAGATTGAACTGTGCACATACTTACAGCTTGCTTACTTGGTGAACTGCTAGCTCTGAATGGTCAAAAGTGAGGTAAAACAAGTACTTCAAAAACCCTTAGAGGTGATGAGTGAAAACATTTTATATAGGCAGCTACTGAGCTATAGGTAAGTAGTGGGCACAGATGGGAAATAATAGAGCAGATGTTCATGGTCTGACACCAGTGGTACAATCATTAGTTAAGTGAAGCTGCTGCAGTATATAAAGGATTGCAATATATAGTAGTGTGCTTATAACTTGATAGCATAATGTGATTAAACTAACCCTGTGTAAAAGGTGAGTAGTTCACTGTACATATTTTTTATTTTTTTATTTTTATATGTTTTGATTCTAGACTAAGCAATTTATTTCTAGCATATGTGACATGAGAATATTTTGTTAATTACCGTCATGACTGTATATCATCTTACACTTCTGATATTCACAAGAATTCAGTATGAGTGGAGTAAAATGATTAAGCCTGATTACAAGACAGAAATCTAGATTTTTGTGGAATATCTACCTCTATCACCAGTTTTAGCAGAGCTGTCCTGAATTCAAAATAAATCAAGTTAACCTGGCATGTCTTAAACCAGAAAAGTGGTTCAGCATGATGTAAAGTCATTCTTTCTGAATGACTTCATCTGAATGACTACATCTCTTCCTTTCTCTGTGCTCAAATTCAAATTCATTGTTACCTTCTGTGGGGACTAATGCCTTGTTATCCTCTTCCTGAATTTGCAGGATGAGGTGTATATAGCTAAGAGGAATTTTCACAGGTATTGATAAAAAGTAAGCCTCTGGTTTTATGTGCCATGAAGAACTTCTGTGAAGTAAATGACTTGGACACAGGACTGGAAGGGATACTAAGCAGGTTTGCAGACGACACAACAGTCGGAGGAGCTGTTGACTCTTTTGAAGGCAGGGAGGCCCTGCAGGGAGACCTTGACAAGTTAGAAGACTGGGCAATCACCAACCACAGGAAGTTCAACGAGTGAAAATGCTGGATTCTGCACCTGGGATGGGGCAACCCTGGATATGTGTACTGACTGGGGAATGAGATGCTGGAAAGCAGTGCCAGGAAAGGGACCTGGGAGTCCTGGTCGATGGCAAGTTGGATATGAGTCAGCAGTGCCCTGGCAGCCAGGAGGGACAACTGTGTCCTGGGGGGCATCAGAGAAAGCATCACCAGCCAGTCGAGGGAGGGGGTTGTCTTGCTCTGCTTTGCACTGGAGCGGCCTCACTTTGAATATTGTGGCAGTTTTGGTCACCACAATACAAAAAAGATATTCAGCTATTAGAGAGTGTCCAAAGGAGGGCAGTGAAGTTGGTGAAGGGCCTTGAGGGGAAGCAGTGTGAGGAGTGTCTGAGGTCACTTGGTCTATTCAGCCTGGAGAAGAGGAGACTGAGGGGAGACATCATTACAGTTTACACTTCCTTGTGAGGGGAAGAGGAGGGGCAGGCACTGATCTCTGGTGACCAGTGACAGGACCCCAGGGAATGGCCTAAAGTTATGTCAGGGGAGGTTTAGGTTGGATATTAGAAAAAGGTTCTTCTCCCAGAGGGTGGTTGGACACTGGAACAGGCTCCCCAGGGCAGTGGTTACCAAGCCTGAAGAGTTCAAGAAGCATTTGGATGATACTCTCAGGCACATGGTGTGAGTCTTGGGGATGGTCTTGTGCAGGGCTAGAACTTGCACTCAATGACCCTTGTGGGTCCTTCCAGCTTGGCTTATTCTGTGATTCTGTGTATTCTCTGTGGGAGGACCAGATCTAGACTCCTCAATTCACCCTTTGTGATAAGTCACTATTACCTTTCTGACAATCAGCATGATGAATAGGTGCCTTTAAATCATATTTTAATCAAGGAATTGCTGCACATAAATACAGTTCTTACAAGAGTTGTCATTTTCTGTTGCTCAGCCTGACTTTGACTCTCTGTAGCAGCATTTTTACTTTGGCAGTTCCTTGGATTGGTGAGGTAGTAAGTGTAAGCTAATTTGTTTACTTGCTCTCCTGAGAAGAGTTTTACGTCTCCTGATGCCAAACCCCTGTGTTCTGTCCCTGTTGCAGGTGACTTTGCTGTGCTCCTCAAAGCAGGTATGACAGTAAAGCAGGCCATTGTGTACAACCTGCTGTCAGCCATGATGGCGTACATCGGGATGCTGATCGGCACGGCCGTGGGGCAGTACGCCAACAACATCACCCTCTGGATCTTCGCCGTCACCGCCGGCATGTTCCTCTATGTGGCCTTGGTGGACATGGTAAGGTTGGGATGGTGCTGTGCCATTTTTGCATGCCATGCATAAAACATAGGACTGCTGTGGCTGGGCCACTATGTGCTGGAGTTCAGCCTAGGGTTATCCTTCACTAAAATTTAACCTTGGTATATTCTGGGAAGTTCAGTACGGAACTTTAGCATGAGCAGCTGGTAATACATAGTTCTTGTGGGGATTAGCTTTTAAAGAAATTATCTTGTGGGAAAGTGCTACTGCTTTAGGAACTTATAGGTATGTTACCTTTAGTGTGTGTACACCATAGGTCCAGATCCTTCGGGCAGATTGTGTATTTATTGTCATGTAATTGTCAATTGATATGTATATGTAATGTGTCATTTTTTACATCAGTTTAGGTTCTTTTGTATATATTTAAATACTCAGTGAGTCAAATTAGTTGTCAGGTTATGTGTCTTTTAGAAATACAGTAATACAAGACCAGAAGGGTGTTACATATTTGGGTTTTTAGCAGCTTTGATATCATTGTCTCTTCAGAATTCAGGTACTCAGAATAACAAAAACTACTCTAGCCTATCTAATGAAGAGCAATAAATAGACTTGTGCTGTGTACTACCTGAAGTTTACATTTTCTTCTGTAGTATCTTTTTGCATACTGTGTCTTGAAGGAATTCCTTTGTTTTCACCTCCTGCTTTCATGAATTAATTTCTTTGTAAACATGTTATTTCTCTTCTGTATGTGTCGTAAAACATTTTGTAAGATTTATTTTTACATCTTCCAAGTCCACTATTATTTGTTGCTTTTGTCAGTACTCTTTGACTTTTCTTCATAGATGAGGAACAAAAGGACTAGCCAGAACTTTCATAATTTCTTAGAGTTTCACATAGAATTTCTCTTTAATTGCCTGGAGCTATTATTCCTATATTTTAAAGGGATGTGTATGTGAATATGTGTAAGCATCTAACATGACAAATGAATGGCTAAGTTAATCAGCAAAGTCATTATATAGGGTATATTTATAGCAATGTAATTACTGTAGAAATAGGCAAAGCTTTTTATTACGTTTACTTGAGCATGACAATTTTAATTGAGTAGAAGTACTCAAGAGAGCAGAACTGCTGGGCTGGTCCTTATCTTGAGGAACTTAATGTTCAATTAGATGTGTGATCCAGTAAAAGCTTAAGAAAAAAAAAGTCCAAAGGAAAAGTGTTTTATGATATGATCGTGTTTTTATTGACTGTAGTGGTTAGGTAGACTTTAAGCTATGTCTTAGTGTTGTTTTGTAACCAAACCCTGGAGTATTGAGTCTTGACAATACCATCTTGTAAATTTGTCCATGTATAAATGGAATAGAGGTGAAAAAACTTTCTAAATTGTTTTTTTCTTTTTAGCTTCCAGAAATGCTTCATGGAGATGGAGATAATGAAGAGCATGGCTACTGTCCCGTGGGGCAGTTCGTTCTTCAGAATCTAGGCCTGCTTCTTGGATTTGCCATCATGCTGGTGATTGCCCTCTATGAAGACAAAATTGTGCTTGACATCCAGTTTTGACCTAATTCTGGTAATCACTGTGGTTACAATAATGTTGCTGTATGGCTTTGAGTCTGCACTGTTTCACTGTATGCACGTTGCTCGGAGGAAACGCGGTGGCTTGCACTACTTACACAAGTACAGGACATTCATTTCTGCCTAGATTAACTAATGCTTTTTTTCTAATTCAGATCAGATCAGGTCACCCAATGCAACTTCTACACTCGAGTGATCAACACTTAGGAAACACAAAATATGAGAAATAAAGGCCAAGTTCAGTGTACTGTATAGGGAGCACTGCTTGCTTAAGAAAGAAAAAGTACAGTGAATGATCTTCTTATTTGGGAAAATACCATTTCATTGGTACACTTGGACAGAACCAAGAAGATGTTACAGTTAAAACTCAAACCTCTGCAAGGAACCCGAGCAAGCTTTTAGTGCCATATAAGTCCTGAGTAGTGCATATATGTATCTATATATGTATAGATCTATGTAGATATATACAGATATGCATACATATATATGTGTGTGTGCGTGTATGTATATATATATTAATTCTGCGCTGATTTTTCTGCATAGTGGTGACTTGAAATATTAAATCTTACAGCAGGACATGACTGGAAACCACTATGCCAGTTTAAATTTTTAAAAAGAAACCCAAAGCCTAAACACTGTTTAAATTCTTACAAGACATGTTAAGCTCACTCCATCATTTCAATCCTCCTGTGTAAGAAGGCAGGCTGTTGCCATGTACTCTGCAAAGTGTGACTTCTGTCGAGGGTCAGTTTGATGATGTTTTTCCCAACTAAGATTTATTTGATGTTTGTTCCTTGATATTAGTAGGAAAATGCAAAATGCAGTAGAATTAGTGTTAGCTTGGGGAAATCCCTGACGTTGGAGTTATTGAGCTATTTTTGGTTTTTTCTTACAGACGCTAAACATTTATTGTGTGCCACTTGCAGCATAAACTACTGAAGAATTGTGGCTGTGAATTTGTGCAAACTCTTTTAACAAAGAACCCATACAGGAATTTCTCCATTTTTTAAAAACAATTATTTTGAACTGTTTTCTTCTCTTCATGTTAAAACAATCCAAAGTTCAAGATGCTAGTTGCTGAACCTGGGCACAAAGGTTAAATTATGCTCTGTGTATGTTGTAATGGTAGGTTATTTACAATACTGTAATAGCAGATCAAATGTGTTTCTACAATGCCTTGTTATCAGACATTGCAACACCAGCCATTTCTGGCAGTAGAGAGTATGTAAGAAGATTTCTACTTCCAGTATAAAGGAGTTCATTTCTAAGATATTTTTTTACAATTTTGGTATTTAAATTAGATTATTAAAAAGCAGATGTGGTAGAGCAATGGTATGTGTCATTCGGAAGAATAGACTGAAACTTTGGGCCTTAACTTGCTGGGACCAGCTGTCCTAGATCAGATTGTGCTGATATGCGTATATTGCCAGACATGAGTTAGTTCTTCTTGTACCCATCTCCTTAAAAAAAAAATTGTGAGTTTGTGAGGAGTGCAAGTTGATTCTGTAGTACCAATCCTAAGCATGGTAGTAGCTTTTTTTAAAACATGCAGTTCGTCTATTTTATGTGTATGCCAGGTAAAAGCTGTATTTTGACTATGTGCCGTAAGTTTTGTTTCAGTCTGCTTGGTGCCAGTGTAGCTGCTAAGAACACTGATCCTAACGCCTTTAATGAGAGCCAGTTGGTATCTTCATTCCATTTCAAGTTAATGTGTTTCCTGTGGCCCTTTACTTTTGAAACTCTATTGGTCAGGTCAGCTTTTACTGAGAGCAGCTCATGTATTTTAAAGTAATCGGTCGGTCGCCAGTATTTCTTCCTAATTCAGTATCAGGAAACAGTATTAAGGGTCCATTTCAAAGAAGGGTGCAGTTTCTTCAGTGAAGAAGCCAAAAGCCCAGAGTTCAGGCAGGCAGCCATTTCATGTTCTGAACTCAGGTTTTATTTTTTGCTCTTTAAACATGTTTACTGTTGGACCCTAATTAGCAAACACACTGTTGTTAGCTTCAGATTCCTGAATTTCTGCAGTGTAAAGCTCCTGGGTGACATTTTAGCATAGTGTTCATGTTTGGTCACTGAGTACCGTTTTCAAAGAGACTTAACTCACTGGATACCTTCTGAGGATCTAAGTTTAAACAATCTGTGTTTCTTATGTATTAAACTGACTTAGTTTTTCTTTTCTGTTAATTCTGTCAAGTATAAGGGGGTCATTATGCAGCTGAACTGATGTTTTGTCAAATCATTTTTTAAAGCTTATTTCTCTTAATTCTTTTCAAATGAAGATTTCTGTATTTCAGGTAGTATATTTACTTTTTTATTAGTTGTAATATGGTTATAGCTTAATACACTGCCTCTGTAGGAAAATAGTTAACTTCCTTCCAAGACCATCTTCAGACAAGGGAAAAACGTGGTCATTGAAGGTAGGTACTGTATTTTTCATGGAATATAGGTTGTTTACTTTTATTTTCTAATATTTATTGCAAATGTAACAGAGCAGTGTAACAGCTGTGACTTCTTCTATGTGTTTCCGCCAGTATTGAATTCCAAAAGATTCTAATGTACACTTCTGTTACAGACAATCTGAATTCCACTACATTTCTACTTGGCTTCAACATTCCATTTTGCTTGAATCCAGAGTCTCATTTAACTTGTATTTGTTGGAGGGCATAAATGTTACTTGTATATTACAATGCTGTCACTGTGTGACATCCCATAAGAATTTTGATGTAAATCACATTGCACTCAATCCTCTGTGATTATGCTTAGAAAATGTTGTAGTTGCTAGATGCAGTGTGATTTTTTTTTTATTATTTTTTTTATTTTTCTTTCCTCTCCCCATTAACAACTGAGTCTATGGTTTAAAATGTGATTATGGTCCAATAAGATAACTTGCTGAGCTATTGGTCTTTTTGTTATAACTAGATCATTTTTTAAGATTTTATAAAGCTGGAAATGATCAAATGCTGTTTTGTTCATTGTCAACAGTGTTGTGTTCATTTTATGTATGTTCCTTATACGTAAGGAGCCTTCAGAAAATAAAAGCTATTCAAGGAGCAGATATTTTTGTTGGCTTTTATAAGGTTTTGTTGTGTACTTCTGTATTTTAGTATTCTGTTTCAAATCTTGTGAAAGACACAAATGCAACATTGTAAAAAAACTCATTTTGATTTCTCTTTTTATATGGCATTGCAGGACTGACATGCACTCCTTATAAGTGATCTGGAAAATGCCCCTACCTCCTGAAACTGCAATAGGTTTATGAGTTAAGCTGACATAATAATGCCACACCTGTCTGACCCGGTGTTCTTGTGGTTTATCTGAAGAGAGAGTCATGACAACCACAAAGTTGGTGGAATGACCTGTAGTTGACAGGATCCCTCTTCTCTCGCTGGTCTTGTACACTGAGGCCAGGTAACTTGGTCACTGTGGGATGTCTGCTCTCTTACATGGCTTCAGCCATGTCTGCAGCAAAGAACAAAGTAGTCCTTTTCATCTCTGACAGCCTTGGATTGGCCAAAGTATTTTTACATTGTTGGCAGGGTTTTTTATTTGCTTTTTAACAGATAGCTCTGAAAACTTCTTTCTTGTTTCCTCTTTCTTAGCAGAGTGCTTCCACTCCCAAGATACACAACACCAAACTTCCCATTATTATTATTATTATTATTATTATTATTATTAGAGGATTCTCAGCTCCTCTCAGACACTAATTTCTATTTCAACAACTTGTTTAGCACACTTACAGAGCCAATCCCAGTCATCAGTGATGCTGCCACCATAATTACATTCTCCAGTCATATAGTGAAGAACATCAGCTGGTACCTCTTAAAAAAAGCCGGTGATCTGAGCAGCAGCTGAGCAATTCTCTGGGCAGCATATCCCTATCACTGTAATTTACTTGGAAGTCAACCAGAATTCTCACTGGAAAGTTTAAAAGCTGTTAATTCATGCTTGAACCATTTCATCTGCAGATCTTCAAATAATCATCCATCAGGTCATCCAGCATTGCTGCTTTTGAAGAATAATAGCACCAAAAATTTTCATAGTAATGCAGCTAGAACTCCCCTGAGAACAAGTTTATGGAAAAATCTTCCAAAATTTTCTCTCCTTGTTTGGCATATTCCTAAAATAAATGTATGCTGTCACAGGGCCATAGCTGTGTTCATGATTTTTTTTTTTTTAGAAAATAAAGTCAAACATGCTTAAAGTCTTGAGGTTGGGAGAAACTGGACTCCTCTTAGGTACATAAAAGGAAAAAATTGTGACTGATAACAGATAAATTATTTGCAGAAAATCAAGGCAAGAGTGGGTGATACACTGAGAACTGGGATGAAGAAAACCAGTCAGAAAAGGTACCAAGAAATGTTTACTACATACAGGTCATTATCGTTAAGGGAAGGAAAAAAAAAAGCCTCCCTCAGTGGTAGGAAGTATATTTGCTCCTAAGCCATCCCACTTCACTAAAACCTCTTATCTGTCTTCCACTGAAATACTCCAACTACACATCCATTTAATCTGGAACTATAAGATTCTGACAGTTTAAAAATACTCCTGAAAACAATATGATCTTGCTCTTGAAGGATATAGAAAATCTACTATAAAATGCAAGATACCTTTGCAGTTTGGTGGCTGGAGACTTGAAGTATGTCTGTCATTCTCAACAGCAGAGAATGATAGTTCCTGACAGAATAATAGTCAGGAAATGCAAGAAATACATCTTACCCAAAAACAGCAACTTTCTAGTGTTCTAACAGTACTCTTGTTACATAAGAACTGATTTGGGCTACTGGGGATTTTTTTGTTGTTGTTGTTTTAAATGCCATAATAACGACAGTCAAAGTGAAAAAAATCCATACTTCAATTCTGCAATTCTGATGTGTAAATGTCACCCAAGATTCTAAGGTCCTATATTACTATGATGTTTTTAATTAAGTATTATATTACAATTAATGCATATTAGAAAAAAATAGCATTTTCAGATAAGATTACTTACAATAAACATTTAAACCATTACAGTTTTTTCTTTTTTGCATTTTAAATTTGAGATTACACAAACAAATTAGTTAAATAGATCATGACTTCACAAGATCATAAAATGTCCCAAAAATATTTAACCTACCATTTTCTTTAAACAATAGACAAATTATTCATTCCTGAAAAATGTCCTCTGCATTATTTAGTGCTTTTTGTTAAAGAGAATCAGAAGGATCAATTTGGGCAGTTAAAAACTTTGGCATTTCAACTTTTACTTAAATAAAGTTCCTTGCTTCACACAAACATACACATATGTACACATATACACGCACAAACACCAACTATGTTAAAAAAGTCTGGAGATATTAAAATACTTGATCATCAGCGAACTACAGAAGGGCTATCATGGAGTCAGCACCAGGTGAAAGTGTAAATATCAGTGGTTGCACAGCCCAGGCTTTGAACTCTTCTACCATTTGTATCATCTAAAAGAAAAAGGAAAAATAGAATTGCCCTACTTAGGGTAACACATACTACTCTAAACATCTGAATATCAATTTCAAGGACAGCATCCCTGCATATAAAATTATACACAAGTACAGTCCCAGAGGAATCAGTGATTTAGCATGTGTAAATCTAGGCAAAAAAGATGCTCTAGTAAAGCTGAAATTAAAAGTCCTATGCAAATGTTCCTTAATCTCATTTCTGTCACCACATCTGGACTGACTGACATGCTGGGTTATTTTCTGCACTTATTCCATCTGTATTATGGAGAGGATTTAAATTTTTCAAGTCTCATAATGCAACACCTTTCAAAGGTGTTAAGATCTTGGCTTAGAAAGCTGCTGCATACAGCAGACTTGAACACACTGGTATTTAAAATTCCTGCTGAAGCTAACTGGGCTCTGTACCAAAATAAGAGACAATTTATAAAGTGACAGATTAATACTTTCATCCTGTAAACCCTTACAGATGTAATTCTTCAAAATATTATCACTAATTCTATCTCTGGACATACTCTAAAATATTTTAAAATAGAATAGAATATTTAGAATATTATAAAATAACCACCTCCTCTTTAAAGAAATACAATAGTATTTGCAAAGAGAATCCTAAGATTTAATATCTGAAAATGAAGTCTAAGAAACACTAAAGGATTCAACCCCTCTGTCACATTCTGTGTACTTGGTCACACTATATATTTTTTCCCTGAAAGCACCTGTGATAATTGCAGATTTTATAATTGAAATGTTAAAAACTTCATGTTAAAAATTCTAGTTACAAATACAGCAACTTAGCATATAAAACTTTAAAATATATTATCCTCGTTGTGACCAGAGGGGGGAAAAGTTCCAGTAGCTTCATTTCTCTTGATTGTCCTGCTCATAAACTCACCTGTGTTTTTGCTTTCTTTAAAAACTTACCCTGCTTTACAGGTGCAATGTGTCACCAATTAGTAATGCCTTAAATTTGAGAGCAGGAGAGAGGCTCTGGGCTCTGTTAACTGTGGGCTTTATAGATGGAGATGCTCTTGAAAGAGCTTAGTTCAGCTTCCAAGCTCTTGACTGATTTTAAGGAGATGTATGAGTATGAGAACCGTTTAAAAACCTTCACAAAGTGGCCTTTCCAAGAGAACTGCAAGTGCACTCCGGAGAATGTAAGTCTGAAAAATGGTTATTTTTCCTGTGCCTTATTTTTTATATACTGTGCCTAAATGTGGAGTCACTGTTAAGTATGTTCATGGTCAAGAAGAGTCCATTAAACTTGATGAAGATGAAAAGTTAAATACTCCAACTTTGCTCTGTTTGCTCCTCAGAAATACTGTAGTAGGATGACTGGCTTTTCTGTGTTCAGTCTACTAGTCTAGCTGCAGAACTTAATAAAGTTACTTTTTTTTGTTCTTGTCACTGAAAAGTTGATTTCTAGTATTATGTAGTCTTTCTGATTGCAAACTTCTATTCGTGGCGAAGCAGCCTACATTAGACTGGAAAAGTACACATCCAGCAGGAAGGATGAGGTAGCAGAATGATGGCTACTTAAAATTCAAAAATGGAAAATATATAAACTTTAGAAAACTTAATGTTTCCGTCCTTGCAGGCTTTGACTTGAACATTAAAAAAATAAATAAATAAAAATTAAAAATATCTACCTGACTTCTAATTAGGCACACACATGAAACCTTCAAGCTGGATCTCAGATGAGTCATACTTCAGGAGTTGTCTGAGAAGGTTTCGATAACTGAAATAAACTTAATTTTTAGTGTTCTGATCAGACATGATTCTAAAGTGACAGGAAAACATAGAAGTCCAAGATGTAGCATTTTACTCACATAATTTATATATAAAGGTTCTCTATGTCCAAGACATTTTTTTCTCTGAAAATATTCTCTAAAGTCCTAACTATGGCAGATCTCATGCACTGCTACAGAAATACCTGTGTATCATGGCATTTACTGGTTGTTATCTGGTACAACAAAGCTATTCCAGTTGCCTGCAGATACCACAGCTATGCAGAAATCTTTTCACTACTTGTAGCCTATTCCTTGTTCCTTTACTAATTGCTTTTTTACCTGCTTGCAGTCCTCACACTTAAAATTTCTTTTTCAGCCTGATCTGTGCTGATAGACATTGTGAGGAAAGGTGTTGTTTGCAAGCTCTTCAGAATTAAGTCTGCTCGTGTAAACACGAGCAAATAAGTGGGATAAGGCTGTAAACTTCTAAACTGTCCCTTGCAGATGGCAAAGGCGGGATTCATCCACTGTCCAAATGTAAATGAACCAGATGTGGCAAAGTGTTTCTTTTGCTTGTTAGAACTGGAAGGCTGGGAGCAAAATGATGATCCATGGTAAGCACAGATGCAACAAAATTCTTGAAGTATTTCTCCAGACTTCTTTGACAACATTCCCTTAGTCATTATAAAGTTACCAATTTCCTCCGTGATGGTTCACAAAACTGAAGTTTATCTTACCTAGTAACCTTGAAATAGTTCAAATAGCTTTTGTCTGAGATCCACTACATCTATTTCTTGTGTTTTCTGTATGATACTTGTTCTGCTGATAGACAGATGAGACCTGTCACTTCAGATCTTCATCTCTTGAAACATAACTTTTATGGGTTCAATATATGTTCTTATTCTGGGTTTATTTTGCAGGGAGGAACACACCAAACGTCACACCTGTGACTTTTTATCTCTCCCTAAGAACTTTGAAGACCTTACAATGGAGGAGTACTACATGCTGGAGATGACACGGCTGAGAACATTCATTGTAAGTGTTAACCAAATAATCTTCATATAAGATTCAAAGCGAGAATGTAAACAAGAACCTCTATCTCTCAGATTTCCAGGCATTAGCCAGGAGTGATGGTATAAGGTTAGAAATTATTCATACTGAAGTAATGATTTACATGCATTATTGGCTAAGAAATCTGCACCCAGACACTTCTCAGTGTAGTCTATTGTCTGGCTTTTGAATGCAAACCTGTTTCCTTTAGAGAAAACCAGCAACTTATTACAGCAGAAAAAAATATATTGGGTACAATAACCAATGAGAAGCTCTATCATCTTCAGGAGGGATGAGCAACACATGTAAAAATAAAAAATTTGACCAGATCATTGCTTCACATGTCCAGTTTTACATATAAATCAGCCTAATTAATCTTTCAAACTTTAAAGCCCATCTCAAATGTTTTACAGTTCACCAGTTTTACTCCTTCTCCATCCCGGGGTTTTGTGCCACAGTACTGGCATGTAAAAAAGCACACAAAACTGAGCTGCTCTGTTAATCAAGATCAGCTGATCTTTGATATATGAGCCCTACTCCCATGGATACTAAGAATCAAGTGACCCAAGCTCCCTGATAAGTTGCAGTAAAGGTTCTGCATCTTACTTCTTGGTGGGTTTGCACAAATAAGGTCTTTGCTTTGCTAATAATATTCTGTATTAAATACATACCTGGTGAACATTGTGGTGAGGGGTTAAGTATTTAAGGTCCCTATGCAACTGATTAAAATACATAAGAATAGGATCACATGGTGCAGTGGGAGCAGTCTGATAGCTTAAAAGGTGTCTCTAAGAGTGAGACGCTGATGTTATCCAGCCTAAACTGTGAATGATTTAGAGCAGTGTTTCAAGGTACAAAAAGGGTCTTAGAAATAATACTTTATTTCTAAGTAGAGTATATAGAAAACTTGAAGCAGCAGCTTCAAGTGGGAACACTTTGTGCCCAAGAATCCTGTCACCAATAGTTTGGAGGGCAATCCACTGGGCTTGTTGGCCCTCTTGAAGCACTGATGTCCTAACACGCCCTGAGGAGTGAGATCATGCCTCTTCACACAGAAGATCAAAGTTAAGTCTCCCTCCCTGATGTGATGTAAAATGCAGCTAAACAGTAGGGTCACATTTTACTTTAAAAGAAAAAGGTATACTATACATAGCCAGAAGTGGTCACTGAGCTGACCCTTACTGGCAAGGCTGGTGGAGGAGTTTCTGAATCAAATGGGGGGGTGCATATGACACTTGCCAGACTGCTCTGCACCATTCCAACAGCCACAGACAAAAGCAGACTTCTAAGCTAGAATTTGTGGCAGATCAGTGGGGTTTTGAGGATCTAAGATTTGAATCTAGTTGAACTGGACAGTTAAACTTCTCAGTTGAAAGTCTCAATTTTTGCTTTGCTTTAAGTGCAAAATTGGCAGACGGATAATAAACTCTTTTGAAGAAGAAGTTGCCACAACTAGGAAGCATCTTGTGGATTACTTTGTCTCCAAGCATCAGTACACACCACCACTGCCACTGCCTCTCAGTGATGATCCATCCACTCAGCACTCAGAAGGCTCACACTGCCAGTCAAAATAAGACCAGGAGAAGTGAAGTGTCAAGTCCAATTCTAAAAGTTTCTCTTCTTTATGTGGTACAGTCATATCTTTATCTGAGTATGAATATAAAGGAGGAAATGTATGTAGAGAATTCCCTTCACAGGGTCTCTGGAACAGAGTTCAAAGCTGTTTATACTAACTCCTGTCTTTCATAATATGCTTTGTTGTTATGCTTAAGTGTGGACTAATAGTAGTCCCACTAACCTGTGAATATGTGAAAAATGTCTAAGCAAATACTTATATTATTGTGGTTTTTAGCAGACTGATTTTTTTTTTGGAATAAAGATTCAGAACTCTGAGTACCTTTTGTGATATCTGTTAAAGGCTTATACCAAGACATACTCAAATCAGAACAGTTCTGCTTCACAACACTTCCCATAGAACCAAGTGGATCCCTCTGCTTTAAGTACCTACTTAAAGCACTCCTGCTTACTGTTAAATTATCTTTCGAGATTCAACAAAATTGTCACAGATAGTGACATCCAGCAGAAAGAGCAGGTGTACTGAGTAAGGGAAGACACAAGGTTTGTAAGACAGTCACAAGGAAGAGCTCTGGGGATTTTTGGTGTGTACATTGAAACTTAACAAAAGCTAAAGGCCTACTATTCTGTTCTGAAAAGTTTTTCTTGTTATAATTTCAAACTCACTGGGGTTTTTTTGAAATCTTATTAATTCCTGTTTTCCTTTATGAGAGGCTATTGTAGAATGGTTGTAGACAACACAGTTGAAATACATGCTTGCAAATAGTTTTGGTTTTTAAGATGGACAGATATTTTTCAATAAGGGGAAAGTTTTGTACATGGTTTGTCAGGTCTTAGGTTGTGAACAATAAGCATCCTTTGGAACTCCCCCAACTTGTCTTTCCACTCTGTAGGAAAATCCTAAATGCTGGGGATCTTAAAAACGTATTTCAATATTCTTTAAAGCATTCGTGAATTACCTGTAGTGAGAGTAAATTATCTTTTAACTTGACACATCATTCCATGAAGTGTTTTCAGTTACAGCAATGAGGCTGGCATGCTTAAATCTTTTAAAAAAAAAAAAAAAACTTGAATTATAGGTTTATCTAAGAAACTTCTCTTAGAGAAGTTAGAGTAATTTTTAAGTCTTTAAACAATAATAACTCAAAATCCTGCTCTAAGAAGTGAAGAAATGTTGTGGGGGAAACCTGACTATGCATTTACGTCCCTCTTTCTGTTAGAACTGTATTCTAGTGTCAGTCTTTAATTATGATGATAACCATATAATCAATGAAAATCACATCACAGTATTACAGGGTAAATACAAGTTGAGTTGCAGCTGAATGCAGAAAATGATGGCAGGAAATCAAGAATCAGAAAATTAAAGTCCAACAATGCACCAGAGAACTTGGTTTGTAAATGGCCTGTGAACAATCCAGCTGTTACATTGTTATTGCAATTATCAGATTGGGAACAGCAGTTGTTGTGTGGCATTATTAGCCTGCAGTACAGTCCCACCTAGGTATGCCTTTCTGGAAACTGGTACTGCAGCTCTGCTGGTGAGCTTTTTGGGCTTGCCTATAGAGAGCTGGGCACAGAGCTATGCAGACAGACTTCATTCTGAGTAATTTTGATTTAACAAGTCATGAAGGAGCTCATGTTCTGCCTAGCGTCCTCCTTCCCCAATTTCTAGGCATTTAGTTTCAGGTTCAAATCCAAAATGCTGCATTCTTTTTATTTTAATATATGGGGGTAAATAGGTACCTCAGACTTACATCTGTAACAGCTGTTGAAGAGTTTAGCTAAAAATTTGCAAGCTTTATAGAAAACAGGGTGAATTAGGAAGCACTGAGGAGTGAATCAGGAAACCCTGAGGAGTGAAGGTTGCACTGAAGTGCAAAGTTGAGTTGTGCCACTGTGCCAAAAACTGTGCACTTCTCCATGAGAAGAGATGGAGCAGTAGCTTTGGGATTGTCAGCCAGGCTGAGGAGAACTGAGTTGCAGTCCCTTCTTTGAGATATGCAGTACAACTTAAAATAAAACACACAGAATCCTCAAAGTAGGGAGTTGAAGTCAGGACTCCCCTCCTTTTTGAAGTAACTGTCTTACAAGAAGAGAAGCATATGTGTTCCTTTGAAAAACATTCATATTCATTATATAGCTGATGATGATAAAGTGGCTCAAGTAACACTGATTTTGTGCCCTCTCTCAGACATGCAACCATCCATGAAACTGCCCTTTATTTAAATTTGTGCATCACTCACAAGACAGGAAAATGAGCTGGTTGCATATTACTGGAGAGAAACTATACCAGTATAAAAAAAAATAATTCAACTGTGAAAAAGGCATCTTCTCCGAGACCTGTTAACTAGCATTTCTGAAAATCCTAGTATATCCATGTGTAAGTGGTAGTATTAAACCTAGATATGTAGTGAAAATGCTTTCACATAGCAAAAGGCAAAGCAAATCTTCTACATCAGGAAGGTCTAGTTCTTAGCTTCAGTGTTACTGTTTATATTAGAGTCTTTATTGGTTAACTGATTATATGATTCTATAGATCTTATTGAATGGCACTTAAATGAAGGACTTCCTATAACTTCATTTTGTCTGTGTGAATGCACACATCTCAATTCCTTACTTCTGAAAGTCAGCACCTATCGCTTATTTTAGGCATTGCTTAAAAAAAGCCATAATCCCAGGATGCATAATAAAATAGTTCCCTCCCTCAAGCTTTTTCAAATGCCATCATTCATCTGTTCATTTTCCAAGTGACTATTTCCCAAAGAACTAAAGCCCTCAGCTTGCTGTATCTTTTTTGTAAATGCCCAAAGAAAGCTTTGTCTTGGCTATTTGCCCATTTCCTGCAATCTGCTCAAGTAAGCAGCTACAACTGCTTAGTTCCTTTAATGTGTCTCATTGTAGACTTATGAGTATTTCCAACCAAAAATCCATTCTATTCTCTCTGCATACTTTAAACCCAATTTTTTAAACAGAAAAATTTCTAAAGCCTTGATATTTACAATGAATAAAACACACAATATTTTTTTAAAGGGTGTAAGAAGTCCTGGGTCATTTGGCTGAATACTGGTGATAAATTTTCATCATTTCAATTAACAGTAATAAAAGTGGTTGAATGAATTAGCAAAAGTAGACAGTATTATCTGACCATGCAAAGTGGTTATGGTCAGATATGGTACAAGTAGGAAAGAAGGATAACTTTTTCAGTTATTTGTTCAGGGGGTATGTGCATGATGAACACTTTGCATGTCAAGAAAGCTGAAGGGGGGAATGTTATAAAAATTAAAAAAGCAATTAACGGTAAGATTAAATATGAAGAAAGTGCCTAAATGAAGAGTAAAATTAATCCAAACATCTTACATATTAAGGAAATAGCGATAAAGTTTGATAAAGCAAGTCAGCAATGACTGTGTCAGGTCACTGTGAGAATAGGGAGTCACAGGTCTCCTGAATCCCATTCTAATTTCTCTACATGGCAAAACCTGGTTTTTCTACTCTTATCTGGGAAAGTAGCATGCTACATAATAAAATACAAAGGCATCCTCAAAGCATGGTAAACAAATGTATAGACTGACTAAGGACAGTGGTTGCTTGAAGTTCAGCAGATTTCACTATCACCTTACCACTCCAGGTTTTGTTGCCTTTTTTGCATCCAAATCCAATCCAAGCCATGATTTGCCATTCAGAATCCACAAACTAGCAATGATCTACTACTGCACACCATTCATGTATGTAAGAACATACCATGTGAAAAGACAGCACTTTCTTTTTGCAGAATCAATATTTTCAGTGAGTTAATCAGCTCATGAATGCAAGCAAACAGGACTGTTAACATACCGAGCTGTCAGATACCAACGTCCATCCATCCTTCAGTCGTGTAAAATCCTTACGAGTATTTGTGGAGCCTGGAAAATCTTCTAGTGGACAAATTTCATCCCATGATTCTGGAGGAAGCAAGGTACATGGATTAGGAAACAGATTGTCCAAACCTATGCCTCAAGTCAACAGAAATTTTCATTCATTCTCATTAAAGCAAAGTTGAAAATACTGCTCTCAGGACTAAATAAATAAAATCTAATGGGTTTAGTACATTATAAAGTAAATCAAAACATTTATCTGAATTCTTGCATTAGTTCAGAAAGCTTCTAAACAACTACTAAAAGCTTATTTCTAAAGTATTCAACGTCTGTTTTTTAGTTAAACACGAATTTAAGGAATCAAAAAACCTAATACACGAGCCAATTTAAAGAGTCATCTGCGTTCCTGACTTGGGAAATGAACAGTTTTAACCAATGAGATTTTTAGGCCAATTCTTGAAATCCAAAAATGTTGAAGGAAAAAAACTGGATGTATTTCAGGGAACCAAGCATTTTTAAACGTGTTCCTATAATGCATGTCTAAATATGAAAAAGAAATATCAGCTTATTAAATGTCTCATTCTTCTCTATAAGTTTCTTTATTGGCTTGAATTTTTTAATCAGGTCCCTGGGAACGGGAGAACAGTGTCCCATGATTATTACTGTCAACTCTTGAAATAAATGTATTCTCTAATATAAAAATTTCAAAAGTTTCTAAAACTTTAAATCTTTCCATATTACACCAAAAGGAACAACTCTAAGCAGCTGTAAGTACTGTTTTGGTTTAAATGATGTTTAATGAAAAAAATGTTTAGAAAAATTGTTATCATCTAGCTCAGTTTTGCCATAACTGTTAGTTAGGTATTTATTTTATTCTACAGAATCTTTTTCTATGCTTATAATTGCTTATTAAAATTAAAATAAAACAAAGAAAAATTAGACATAAGTACTGTAGTTATATGTAAACTAATTTTTCTATTCTTATCCTGCATGTTCCTATTATTGACAGTTTGTATATTTCATTTGATATATGTCATATCAAACTGCAAATTATTTTTAATTACTGACCAATCTTACATGTTTCAGGAGATTCACTGTTAGACAAAAAGAGAAGAGCAGCTTGTCCTTCTCAAAGAGGGAACGACCGACATTGACATAAAGCAAGTAGACAAAATGATCCTTGAGAATCTTCAGCCTACAGGTGTCAGAAAAAAAACAACCTTCCATTAATATCACTTTAAAGAGTGTGCACTCTGGAGACCTATTACGAATCATTTAGATCTTCTTTTTTCTAATAAACTCTCTGGTCAGTTACCCCAAAGCAATCATTAAATGCATGTACCATTTTGTGAGCAAAATAATGTAAAATAAGCCATTTAAGTGCAGTTACATCTCAGTAGTGCATGACTTTCAGAGGAAGTGAGGGTTCCCTCTTGAGAGGGACAGAAAAGAGCAGCAATTTTA